GAGCACCCATACTGAGGGCTCCTGCAAACATGAGCTAACAATGAGACCTGAGCCGTTTAGGCTGAGGACTACATAAAATAACCCACTCCACTCACAAAAGGGGAATTTGGGTAAACTTAAAGGGTTAGTTCACCCAAAAATGAAAATTAGGCTGCTTTCTACTCACCCCCGAGGCATCCTAGGTGTATATGACTTTCTTCTTTCAGACGAATCCAGTCGGAGTTATATTAAACATTGTCTTTGATCTTTCAAGCTGTTTAATGCCACTCAGCGGGTGTTGCATTGCTTCAGTCCAAAAGAACTTAAATAAAAATCGCCCATCCATAAAAAAAAGTGTCTCACACGGCTCCGGGGGGTGAACAAAGACCTTATGTATCGAATCGATGCATTTTTGTAAGAAAAATATCCATATTCAAAACTTAATAATCACTTTAATGTAGCTTGCGCCAACAGTTGTACACAGAAGCAGTTCCGGGAGCATGACGTATGAGGTCAGCAGACAGACAGTTATAAAATCCGGCAAAGGTAGATGGCGACGACCAGCCGGTGGCTGCACAAATCTCACCGATAGAAATCCCTCTGGACCATGCCCAGGAGGAGGCCATTCCTCTGGTGGAGTGGGCTCTCACATCTATAGGGCACTGCAAGCCTACTGAGGCATAAGCCAAGCCTATAGCATCTACTATCCAGCGATATAGTCTCTGCTTCGTGACCGGCAGCCCCTTGGAGAGGCCTCCGAAACATACAAAGAGCTGCTCTGAATGACTGAAAAGACCAGAGCACTCAACATAGACTCTGAGAGCCTGCACTGGGCAGAGTACATTGGGATCCTGTTCACCATCTGCACTTGGGAGCACTAGAAGGGTGATAACTTGAGCTCTGAACAAGAGTACTTTCGGCATGTAGCCATGTCTTGGCTTGAGGACAACTTTACAGTTGTTAGGCCCAAACTCAAGACAGGAAGCACAGACTGACAGCGCCTGCAAGTCACCCACTCGCTTGACCAAAGCTAATGCCAAAAGGAGGGCGGTCTTAAGCAACATGGGCCGCAGATCAGCCGACTGAAGCGGCTCAAAGGGAGGGCCCTGTAGGGCTCTAAGGAATATGGACAAGTCCCAAGTCAGCACAGTGTGAGGATGAGGCAGATTCAATCTCGAGCTCCACTCAGAAACTTAACGACTAGGTAATTTTTGCCGACTGAGTGGCCAGCTTCAAGGGAATGATTCGCTGCGATAGCTACCACATAGACTTTGAGCATGGACGGGGTGCACCCCTTGTCCAGTAGGTCTTGGAGAAAGGTTAACACGTGGAATTTGTCACACAAGGTCAGGTCCAGGCTGTGTGTTGTACACCAATCAGAAAAGACCAATAATTTCTGGCCATAAAGGCCTCTTGTAGACGGTGCTCTAGACTCTAAAATGGTATTAGTCACACTCACAGGGAGCTGCAAAGGCTCCCGTCAAGGGGCCAAACATGAAGGCTCCACAGCTCTGGCCTGGGGTGCCAAATCATGCCCTTCACTTGCGAGAGGAGGTCTTTCCCCAGTGGTATTGGTGAAAGGGCTGTTGATGACAGCTAAATCAACTTGGGGAACCATACTTGGTTCCTCCAGAGTGGGGCCACCAGAAGGACCGAGAATTTGACTTCCCTGATCAGTCTGATGACCTGAGGCAGCAGGGTAATAGGGGGGAAGGTGTACAAGCGAGTGCTGGGCTCAATTTATTTTTCCTTGCTGTCTGGAAAAATAAATTGGCCAGTGAGAGTTGTCTTGTAAGGCGAAGAGGTCCACCTCTGCCTCGCCTAAGACCGACCAGGGCTGCATTTCCCAAAAGCATAGTAAGCTTAAGTACATCTTAGACCCAGAAACCAATGGAGTTACGAGCAACTTAGGCTTACGATGCTTTTGGGAAACGCAGCCCAGATCATTTGAACCATCTGGGGATGTAGTCTCCATTCTCCTGGAGACACATTGTCCCTGGACAGCATGTCTGCCCCTTGGTTCAGTCTGCCTGGCTCATGAACCTCTCTTAGCGAGAGTAGTTTGCCTTGTGCCCATAACAGCAGGCAACGAGCCAACCCTTGAAGGGAGCGTGACACCTGAGACCACCTTGGTGATTGGTGTAGGCTACCACCATCATGTTGTCTGAACGGGCCAGGATTTTGTGCCCCCTTAAGGCCGGTAGGAAGGTTTATAGGACTAAACAGAGTGCCATCATTTCGAGGCAGTTGATGTGCAGGCGTCCCTCCAGTTCTGACCAGGAGCTGAACACCAGTTTTCCCTCATACAGAGCACCCCAACCAGGGTTAGAGGCATCTGTCATGACCACCTTCCGTCTGGAGGTCAGTTCCAATGGGACACCTGCTTGAGCATTTAAAAATCACTCCGCTCCAGCTCCACTCCGGGTTCACCATTTCCTGCTCCCGCTCCACTCCACTGAAATCAGAAACACCGCTCCGCCTTCACTCCGCGGCTAAAGTATTTCAGTTTGTTTGAAATATCACAGTTCTGTTCATAACAAATTAAATATAAAATAAATAAAATAACAGGAGAATTTAAAAGTGGCTTATTGGAACACTAATGTGCAAACTTTTTTCCTACCACATGACAAGCTAATAACATTAAAAGGTATAATTGCTGCTTTTTGCGGTGCAAATTTTGTTTGTGATGAAAATAACAGTACGTTTACATCAGATATTTTACATACGGATCGATGCATTTCTTACAGATTTCTGCTCATTCGAAATCGGATACAGATGTAGCACTGTAAGATTACATTTGTTTGAATGTATTATTAAGAGAGCGATTGCGTGTTATAGTACTTGTTTAAATCATGCTTTCAGCTGAAAATTTTCAGTATCTAGAAGGAACAAACAAATTCCTTGAGAACTATAACTTCCCGCTCATGTCCATTGCCGTCATCATAGCCTTCACATTATTTCTGATTTGCGTGATCCCTATCAAGCTAGCTAAATATATTTAACATGTGAATTCTTGCTAAATATGCAGTTATATGACGGGCCGTTGGCATTAATTGCTCTCGTGATGGAGCGGTGGTGGAGCGCTCTTGGAGCGAGTGAAAACCATGACACTCCGACTTTTAAAAAATCCACTCCTCGCTCCATTCAAAATCACACCGCTCCACTCCGCGCTCCGCTCACATACTCTGCTCCAGATAGCTGAGCAGCAGTGACCTGTGATCAGTGAATTCCTGTTCTGATCTGATTAACACCAGCCAGTCGTCAAGATAATTCAGAATGCGGATTCCCATCTGCCTCAGAGGGGAAAGAACCACGTCTATGCACTTTGTAAATTTGCGTGGGGCCAGAGACAGTCCGCAGGACTGTGTAGTGTTAGGCCACTCCCTCAAATGCGAATCTCAAGAACAGTCTGTGATGGCAGGCTATCTGAATGTGTAAGTAAGTGTCTTTCAGATCCACTGATAGAAACCAATCCTAGTTAGCCTATCTGCGTGAGGAAATAATTTATTATTTATTTATTTAAAACAAAAACAAAAAATTTGTCACATTGGCAAAATATGAACTTCTTCAGTGCCAAGTATTTTTAGTATTTGAATACTATTGTAACAAGGAGGCTGAAGCCGAGTGAGAATCTATATGCAGAAGTTTATTTAAAGGGAAATCCAGAAACAGCGTCAGAAAAGGCAGTAGTCTAAACACAGTCAATCAGTCCAATCGGCAGCCAAAACAGAGGGAAAATCCAATAATCAGAAGTAGAATCAAACAGGCAAGAAGTCATACACAACATCAACAGGCAATAGTAATAGAATGCTCAGTAAGGCAGTGAGACTGGCAATACTTCGCAGAGAGTGTTTGGGCAAGCCAAACTTTATGGCTGCCAAACAGGAAGTCACCAACGAGGCAGCAGAGGGAGCGTGACAGTCAATACTCGGGCGAGGGCTCCCTCTGCTGGCCTGGCATTACAACTATTAAATCAGTATGGAGAAAAAAAAACATTTATGAACTGTTCAGAAATCTGTATAGAGCAGCTTTATTGTGCAACTTCTCTCTATAGTACTTTCACTGTATAAGTAAGACTATATACCTAAACTTACCACTGGTTGTCAATAATTAGACAAAAAAAAGTAATGTTCTAACACATGACACAAAATTCCTGAAAATTTGCTGAATGATTGAGGGTATAATTTACATGAAAGAAAGACGGTAAAACTCTGAAGGGTTTTGGAAGAATATAAGATTGTGCAGCTGTGTATAGCTGCAGATTAGTTCATGAAAACAAGACAGCTTAATTTTATTTCTTTTTACACTTTCCTCTAGGATTTGGACATCAATCCTGTTGTGAGGGACATCATGATGAATCGAACCTTCACCATCATCAGTCTTCACTTTGCCGAATTCCTGAGCCACGACTGGGTTTCCTGGTTCACGGTGAAACTGGTTCCTATCCTCCCCAGCTTGACTGCAGAGATGCTCCAGACAGTAACATCAAACACAGACTGCAACGCATACCATGTCATGTACGTAGCGCTCCCCAAATGCCAGACAGCACTGTAACACGTGCCTTACAGCAATCTCAGAGGGAAGGAGAGGATATTTCTATAGCATGTTTAGTGAGTGATGAGAAGACGCACTAAATGGGCGTCATCCTTACTTTTTCTTTTGGTCTTTCCACTATAGCGTTGGTGCTCTGAGCAGCGTCTTTGACCAGATGGCTTCGCTGAGACAGCAGGAGATCACCCCAGTCATATTGGGCTACCTGAAGCAGAGTCACCCGTGGAGTAAGTTCAGCGAGGGTGGGGCGCTTTTGTTTGGCTTGCGTGCTGAAAGACAGCGCTGCTCTGCGTTTGTAAATGAATTTGTCTCTTAATGAGTCTTTTCTGTGCAT